GGAGAAGAAGAGAGGAGAAGTTGAAAATCATTCACTATCTGCCTATCAAATCAACATACCATCCTCTGAATGCGATCTTTCATGTCCACCACTGCGTCCAGTAGGTAGCTGTATTCCAGTTCCTCGCACAGATTCTGCATTACCAAAAGGAGGGAAGTAGTGTTTAGGTGGTCTGCTGGATGAGCACCTTCCATGACCCCCTTCTTCACCGTTAGTAGGTCTTTTTCTCTGCTCTCCGTTTTGTGATTTTTACACTCTAATTTCCAGTTCTTAAGACACTTTATGGCAGCACCACTTTTGGATACATTTTATGTGGATGAAGCGAAGCTACTTTAATGGTGTGTGCATTGACACTCTCTGCATGGCTGCCAGGTGTGCCGTTGCCATCAATTCACCTTGTAAAACAGCAGTTCTAATACACTTAACTAAATCCTATCTCCAAGAGGGAGGCAGGTGACTACGTGTGCGGAGGTAACTGCCTGCAGAGCAAGTGAGGAGGCACTCTCACTTCGGCCATCCCCCACCGACAGGGTAGAAGGCGGTGAAAGAGCTACTAACCTGAAGAACACTAAGAGGCTCGTTCAAAATGGCAGGTAGTCTCAATTTTGTCAAGTCGCGTCCAATATTGCTAAAAAATTCAAATGTAAAAGGTAATAACTTTACTTCCAACAATTTGTACACACTTCTACTACTACTTAATGCGGTAATAAGTAGCATCTTAATCGGTAAGGGGGTATTAATGGGTCAACGACCTTTGTACCGATTAGTTGCTAATGCCAATCAATTCGATTTTAAATAATTCTTTTGTTTTAACCAACCTCTATGCAAAAAATATATCGATTAAAACGAGGACTATTGTAGAGTGAGCATATACTACTTGCAAAAATGGAATTATTGCGCTTGGTATTAAAAAACTAGAAAAGCTGCATGCTGCCATCCAAGAACACCAAAGTGGTGTGTTCAGCCTTTTATGAGAAGGTACTGAAAGGCTACTGTCTGCCAGCAACTGACACTATTTTGCATAAAATATGCAGCACTGTTACCTTCGTAAAAGCGCCAGTAAGCTGAAGGTTGGAGGACTCGATTGCCGAGCAGGTAGGGTAGTTCTTCGACCCGCGACCGGCTCAGGATTTCTTAAAATTACGCCCTTCATGTCTGGTGCATTCATTTTTGCTTCGTCTAA